TAAGCAGGAACGTTAATATTTATCTAAAAATCATTAAGCCCCGCACTAGGGAAACCCTGTATCGCGGGTGACATGGACACCCACATAGATAACCACAAATTACACTTAAACTTAGGAGAGAAAAAAGTGTAGGCCATACAAATATTTTTCCCCCGCCCGGGAATTGAACCCGGGACCTCTGCGTGGCAAACCAGTATGGTAATCATTCGGCAACTAAGGCAGTTAAAAAGGTATAACTAGGTTTTATATTTTTCTAATAAGTTGTTTCACTTAAATTATATAATATAATAATATAATAACGCACACACTCAACATAGCCCCACACTAGGGAAACCCTGTGTCGCGGGTGCCATGGACACAGACATAGACAACCACAAATTACACCCAAACTCACGAGAGAAATAAATGTAGGCTATACAAATATTTCTCCCGGCCCGGGAATCGAACCCGGGGACCTCTGCGTGGCAGTCCGGTATGGTAATCGTTCGGCCAAGGAGGCAGTTAAATTAAAATTAAGTAAGTATAATTAAGTTTAAGTTAAAATTAAGTGAAATAGAAATAAATTCGTTTTTAGTGTAAAGTCTGTCATCCTAGACGTCTCATTCAGAAATTTGTCATTTAATGTTTTTCAGGACGAAGTTAAAAATGTGCTGTAATATACTATTGTAGTTACTATTTTAATTAGTTAAATTATACCTCTTTCAGATTCTATATTACATTAATAATATATTTACTAGCAGTAGAAATTCCTTGTTAAAGTCCTTGTAAAAGAGTTCGCCCGGGGAAGTACTTTACCTATTTGGCGCATTTGCAGCGCCCCTCAGATCTTTGCGATGTAAAGCTCTGATGGATAGGCGTATCGCTTACCATCAGGCACACGATTTGATCGTCCCGTCACTTGATATGATAAAAACAAATTGAAGGAAGATATTTATAAGTTTCATCATCATCATAGGCTTCTCCCAATGTGTGCCATTTCACCCGGTCTGTAGCTTGTCACATCCATTTGCTTTCAGCAGCCTTTCGCAAATCGCCACTCCATCTAGCCCGAGAGCGTCCAGCGCTACGTCTGGCGAGGCTTGGTATCCACTCAAAAACTCGTTTCCCCCATGTGTAATCGTTAAGAACAAAGTCAGTAAAAACAAATTATGTAACAATGCGTATGCGGAGTTTTCATGTTAAGGCGACGATTTGATAACCAAATTCATTATTATGAAAACAAAAATACCAATTTGGTTATAGCATCAGCTATATTTATATAGTTTACGTGTTCGATGACTTATTAGCAACGTTTGCTTGAAGTATTTTCAAGTTTGACTTTAAGTGTAATTGCTTTAGACTTGAAAGGGATAATGTTTATTATGTTGTTTCTGAACATACTTTGCTCAACAATTAAAAGCGAAGTTGCGATAAAGTACAAACTAATCTAATACAATATCTATGTCATAATAAGTTGAAATTACTTTACAATTTCGACCTTAAGAGTATAATTAACATCATTAGAGATGATGTACTGATGTTTCGAGAATTTATAATGTGTTACAGTGTATATAAAATTACAGTAATCTAAGCTATACCACGTCTATTTTGGTTCTCATATGTCACAAATATAAACTTTTGATTCATATTATTATCAAACTTTTATTAAAGCTTAATATTGACGTAATAAATAATATTCGCTCTCTCGTTAGGTCCCAGTTATCGTTTTCATCATTCAATTCCGGTTTTTATTGTCACTCCTTTACTTCTCATGCGGTCAGACTTTGGAACGCACTTCCCATTACAGTTCACAATAGTAAATCCTAAGCATTCTTTAAAATGAGGGTCAAAAAGCACTATTTATTCTCTGTTCCATCCATTTTATAGATATTACAATATGAAATATGCATTTATCTAAATATTTGTATAGTCTGTAGTAGTATTTTTGGTATTGTTTTTTATATTATTATTTTATTATATAATTTAATTCTGTTTTGTTGTGCACGTAAAGCTGTTATTGTAATTATTTTGTCCTGTATTTTAGTATGCAGGAAGAAAGGTATTGACTGCCTGTACTTCTTTTAGAAATAAGGAGTACCTTTTATTTTTATTTTCCGATTTACTGTACAATAAATTATTAAATAAACATAAAAATACTTTTTTAATATAATTTTGAATTTTATAAAAAAAATATTTTTATGTTGATTTACTTTCGTTGATTTACTTACATTCATCGATGGTTAACTAGCCAATATTATACCTGTTTACATTTTGAGGTCAAATCAAAAATCAAAGTGTTAGCGATCAAACCACTTAATTGGTGTTGCATTCTATGTACTACTTACCTACCTATACAAGTGGTTTATAGTGATCCAAAAGTTTATTTTAAGTAGAGGACCTGGGTCGTGATGATCCAAGTAGCAGTAGAGTTCCTTGTGTAAGAGTTAGTCCAGGGAAGTACTGCCACCTTATCTGTTTCTGCTGCCAAGCAGTAACGTGAGCATTACTGTGTCTCGGTTTTGAAGGGTGCTGATGAAATTACACGAACATGGGACTTGTCAATTTGTATCTCAGGGTGACAGGCGCAGTAAGTAAAACAAATTAGCCTAGTGGCCGCCATTAAGGAAATAATAATAACACAAAAATAGCTAGTTGGTATTCGTCGCGACATCTGGTGTACCAATAGGTACTAAATTCCCGACTACGCTATCTTGCATCTCGATTACCACTCCTCTTGAATTATTGGGACTCAACTGTACCATACTGTTTCCAAATAATGATAAAAACAGTTTTGTATATGTATGAATATAAAGGTTGCGACTTGGGAACATACAGCAAAAAGTTTAAAAATGATATTTATACAATTATTAATACAAAGATCGAACACTCAGAAAAAATTCCTTTGATCCGGCCGGATTCGAACCGACGTCTTCTAGCTTCCCGTGCCAGACGCTATACCAACTAAGCCACAGAACGAACCAGCGGACCTCACGAATTTTTCTATGTGCTTGCGTTGTTCTTTGTATTTGGTTTTTTCAATGACTTTTTAGTCGTAGCGCCATCTATGAAAGTTTTATCACCCAGTTAGATATTCAGATAGATTCTCTTTTTGTTACAAAGAGGTTACCTCAATATTGGTCCCATTTAAATTTGAAAAAAATATTCCACCTCTAAGGGTAGAAAACTAGAGGATAAATCCGGTATCGTGCTCACTTGCCGCTACCTGATTTCAATAAAACTTGCCAAATAGATGTAATTCATCACTTTTATCATTTATCAGATTTATTACCCAGTTAGTACCTTTACAGCTACCAGTCCTGGCGAGAGATGTCGCTATTCACTGTATTAATTAAATTTTTATTGTATTGATATTCAATTATTTTTTGTGAAATTACTCCACTAGTTTGATATAATTATTAATACAAACATCGAACACTCAGAAAAAATTCCTTCGATCCGGTCGGATTCGAACCGACGTCTTCTTGCATACCGTGCCAGACGCTATACCAACTAAGCCACGGAACGAACCAGCGGACCACACGAATATTTCTATATGCTTGCGTCGTGTCTTTGTATTTGGTAATTCAAAACAACATTCTACAATACATTTTCGAAGTACCTGTCGATTCTCTTGTATCTCATAACTGCCATCAGGCATAACAAAAAACTTTCAAATTATTGATTTACGCGGAACTAAAGTTTATTTCAAATGGATCGTTACGACGTTCACTACCTAAAAAACTTTTTAAACGACTGCAAATGAGGCACGCTGCCACTAGGTCATAGATTTCCCTACAGGGATTAAGCAAGAACAGAAAGTAATAGCATTGGAAATTGTAATTACTGTTTTTACTATGTCGAAATTTCAGTGTCTGTGCAACTGCAAAAAAGCAACAATATACGTACGGATAGAAAATAGAGATAGTTGTCAACCATACCTTAGAAATATCAAAATGTAAACTTCACCATCCTCACATATATTTGAAATTTCACTATTCGTAAAGCGTCATCTTAATTTATTGCAATTCGTCACACGGGTGCGCCGTTCTGATCCACTGATCCACTAGACCATGTAAATCAGCTCTATTTGTAAAGAGTGTAATTGTAACGACTACAAAAGTCTACAATAAACTATCACGTGAAATTAGAAATTGTGATAATTCTACAGAATTAAGAAATTATTATTTAATTAGTTGAATGATGTGACATTCTACATTGAAGATTTCTTATAAAATTTCCATTTCATGTGTTATATTTCTATAATTTTTATTGGACAAACTTGTTAAATATATTATTGTTATATTTTATTATTGTTTGGCCTGCATGAGTATACTGTATTGATAAATTATTGTATGAAAATTATATACAAACTATGAAAACTTTGTACACCGCAAGTCGGATCACAGTGGTACAAAATTCATTCTTGTAAAGCCTGTATGACTTGTGTATCCGAAAAAAATAAATAATTTGGCCTGATTTGAAAATGTGTCACTCTTATCAGATATATTATACATTTTGAGTTGGATGTTCTCCAAGGTGAATGTTTCGATCTTAGTCAACGATGCTGGCTCTTAGACATATTTCCAAATACTTTGTTCTTATTCATTGCTGTTAAATTACCACCTGATGAGAATCACCAAATTTGTTTTTGGCTTAAAGCGTTTTTTTTTATAATGCCAAGTACCGGGATGAAGAAGGTGCGCCAGGTAGTAAGCGACACGCCTGTCATAGCAGTTGCAGTGCCATTCAGAACATAGTCGAAAGGATTTAAGGGGCACTGCACCTGCCCGTCATCCGAAGACATAAATTGACAAGTCCAATGTGCCAGTAATTTCACCAGCACCCTTACCCTTCAAAACCACAACGCAGTAATGCTCAGAAATAGGTAAGGTGGCAGTACTTGCCTGGACGAACACTTTCACAAGGAGCTCTGCTGCTACTGAGTGTCTTTGAATACTTAAAAGATTTCTAAAATTGAAATGATAATGAATGATATGAAAATGGATTTTGTATTGTTTCAGGTTAGAATAAATGACGGATAATGTAAAGAGTATGTAGAATGCCGGAATGATCTACGCCACCGAGTCGACGACTGATGCTGACGATGTCACGCAGTCCCTGTGCGCCACACCCGACTGCTTCTACAATGCAACCAGCGCAATCAACGAATCACACTACAACTTCTCACACATTCAACATGAATTGGCTTGTGTATTTGAGTCATCATCTGAGAAATTTATTAGCTCACCGCTATTCCAAATGTGTATATATTTTATGTACAGTGCCGTGTTTATCGTTGCTCTCCTTGGCAACGGGATGGTGTGTTTCGTAGTGAATAGTTCGCCGCGTATGAAGACAGTAACAAATTACTTTATAGTGAACTTGGCAGTGGGCGACATTTTCATGACGTTACTATGTGTGCCCTTCTCATTTGTGCCGGCGTTAGTGTTGCATTATTGGCCTTTCGGTGTCGTGATGTGCAAGGTGGTGAACTACTCACAAGCGGTATCGGTGTTTGTATCAGCGTACACGCTGCTTGCAATTTCCATTGACCGGTACATGGCAATCATGCGCCCGCTGCAGCCCCGCCTCGGCAAGGCCGCTGCCAAGCTCGTCGTTGCTGTTGTGTGGGGCGGTGCACTTGCCACCGCTGCACCTATTCCTATAGTTTCTCAACTTCAAAGGCCCACACAATGGCACATTCTTTGTGAAGCGTAAGTATATTACTTCATCTGAACTTGGACTGAATTACCTTACTAACCTCTGATTGTGTATTTTCTAACATTTGATAGGGATATTTGCTCGGAGAAGTGGGCAACGCCAGAGCAGAGTGGGCAATATACATATGCGCTTTTAGCGCTGCAGTTCGCATTGCCATTGAGCGCGCTAGTTTGCACTTATGCGCGAATCGCTTACGTGGTTTGGGGAGGCCGGCCTCCAGGCGAGGCACAAACTGCGCGGGATTCAAGAATGCATAACTCTAAAAGAAAGGCAAGTAAAGTCCAACAATAGGAGTACATGTTATCAATTTAGATTAAACAGTATACCAAAAAGTGAAAATAACACAACACTGTTCACGTGAATACAAGCGAATAAACGTCCATTATCCGGCCTGTTTGGCGAAAACAACTGGCCACATAAATTGTGTCAGCTACCTAGGGCGTCAGAATGCCCAATAGTAATTTTCATGGTAACCGCTGTCTCCGGCACAATCACCGCCACCGGGTGCTTAAATCACGATCTTATTCGCCTCATACCTTACCTCGTATACTACAAAATCATACAAACACACGTAAATAATTTAAGTGTTTAGTTTACATAACAACAGTCTCTTAATTTCTGAGTTTATTATTCCACAGATGATAAAAATGATGGTGATGGTGGTGGGCGTCTTCATCATTTGCTGGCTGCCACTCAACGTTTTTATTGTAAGAAAAATTGTTTACTCAAAATATGTATATATACAAGAAAAACAATAGTCAGAACTAGTAATAATCGTATAATCAAGAGCACGTCAAGGGTGACACTTTGGTCTATATGATATTAAGTGACGGGACGACCAAGTCGTGCGCCTAGGGGTAAGAGGCACGCCTGCCGATAGCAGTTGTAGTGCCACTTAGAGCTTTAAATTTAAACGATCTTAGTGTCACTGCCACTGCGACTGTTACCCTGAGAATATAAGTTGTCAAGTCCCATGTGCCTATAATTTCACCAGTATATTACCGTAGTCGAGAATCAACAAGTTTGTATATGCCTTAAAAAAGCAAAAAATATAACAAATAAGAAAGCTGTCATAACCACATATAGGGCGTATTTAGAAACCATTACTACGTTACGATTTTGGGTGTAACTTGTGGTTGTCTATGTGTGCCCATGGCACCCGCGACACAGGGTTTCCATAAGGCAGGGCTATGTTGAGTATGTTATTATTATTATTGAGTTATTTATTGTATTAATTATTATCGTGACTTTGATTAAAAACCATGCGATTCAATGAGAAATATATGTCAATAATGGTTGAATAGGAAACAGCCGCTATAGTCGAGTGCGTATAGATTATGTTTACTTAAAATTGCTCCGTTTTACTGCGAATGGAATGAGTCTAATAAGCCTATTCTTTACGTAAGCACTTCTGTAAATTGTGGTTTAGGCTGCTATCAAACCAGTGCCAAATTTGTTAGGTAAATTACTTTCGTTTTCCCCAACGAAAAGCAGAAAGCTGTTTAATCTTCTGTGTTGCATTTGGTGTAAAATGTATAATTAAAAGGAAACTGATTTTCTTTTAACTACTTAGGTGTTGTGGATTTCTCACGAAAGCGACGAGGCTTGGAGTTCCTGGCCTGGCATGCCGTATGTGTGGTTCGCTAGTCACTGGTTGGCCATGTCACACTCATGCTACAACCCTATCATCTACTGCTATATGAACGCAAGATATCGACGCGGATTCAAACAGGTAATACCTTTTGAAGCTGTTGTAATTTGGCAACTATAGTCTGTTTTTTTGAAGATGAAGTAAAATGACAATTGAAAGTGTTCATAAAATTTTAAATATTCATGTAGTTGTTGTCGACAATATTATCGATAGATTGTGAAAAAATTTGCCAAAAATGTCGGAATTGTGAATATTACGTTCCAATGATTACTAATTGCGTTATTGTCTTCTTTATTCTTATTTTGACAGCTGGTCGACTAGTATCGAGATCAATTTTTATATATATAAATTTTAATAAGGAAAGGCGAATTTGATTATTTATATTGAATTGCAACACTTCTACAGCTCCGTTTATGTTTAAGAGTGTAAAGTAAATCCGTGTTAATGTTTTTGTAATAATTAAAAAAATAAATAAAAATAATAAAATGAAAAACTTAAAAACATGTCTCCTATTTGTATTTTTAATAGACATAGATCTAAATCTGGTGCATGTATGAATAATGAGCCTATGACGATTCAAATGATAGAGTTCGACGATTTATTGCAGGAGCGTAATCAACATTCAGTCTAAAGTCGATGTAATATTTATCTACTGCAATCACCTACCTGCTTTGTAGCGGGCGACACTTTTGGGCAATGTGCTGTCGTTTTAATTCATCTTCTAAAAAGACAGTCTATGTTAGTAATTAGTCAGGCAACTAACTCGTCTACAAATCTCATATCGGAACTATCACTGTCTACTTTCTTGTCTGTTCGCTTGTGGTGTTCTCATATATCTCTATAGATAGCTAGACAATTTTCCTGTGTTCATCATGACAATTACTAACTCTCTTGAAAAGGACTTTAATTTCCGCCAAGTCATTTGCCTCGTTACGAAGGCTTCATCTTAGCTCACAAAGGTTTTCCGATGACATTCTACGATTACGTCAGCCTTTGTGCGAATATCCATGCAATTATAAATAATCAAATTTTTTACATAATTCGTACGGGCACGCAAACTAAATTAAAATTTCAATTTTATCTCTGTAAATTTTATATAAATGCACAAATATGCAAACTGCATTCTCGATTGACTAATATTATTTTTGAAATAGACTTTCCTTTCTTTAACGCACCAAATGTTGGAATGTCAATTCCCTAATATCGAAGCACAGCTGAGCAGTCTTTGTCATGTTTTTTTTTTCATTTCAGTGCATTTCCGCATTTCCGAGTGAAACGTAGAATTGAATTTTGTTTTTTAATAAAAAAATATGTGCGCATTTAACCTCTATCTCTCCTGATGGGTCGTTTCTCATAAACTTAACATGGCGACTTTTGTCCTTAATTATGACAGGGCTAAATTTAAAATTTGGGTTTCGTCACGACCTGTAGAATTTTTTTTACTAATTTCGAATTTTAAGCGTATCAGTTGAAGTACTCGGAACGACCGAGATATTGTGTGCCATTTATATAAGTATGCCCAAACAACTTCGGTCGCTCCTCTCGTCACGCCTCGATCATGTCAAGTAATAAAGAACAATGCCCATGGACTCGTAAATTTTGAAAGCATTGTAAATATTTAGTCCAGTATTTCCTCTGATGAAAAATTCCAAGCAGACATAAAACTGCAGTACTAATTAATATGTTTTCATTTATGCTAATTAACATTATTACTTAATAATAAAATTAAATTTAATTAAATGATTATATTCTTAAAATAAAATAATTTTGTAAAACACTTGTAGCGTAAATTGGAATGTTTCTTTAAAAAAATTAAATAAGGGTTCGTAAAAAAAAGGGTGGTTTGCATTAATATGTGGGGCGCACTATAAGTTTCCGGAATGAAAAAATACTATAAATGGTCAGAAATGAATTTAATGTTTTTCAAAATATTTTTAGTTAGCGTTTTTGCACTTTTTCATACGAATGAACCAATTTTGAAAACATTTTTGCCACTCCTCCGTGACAAACTCTGAAACATATTTTTCATACTCTTCGACAGCCTCTTCAGGTGATGAAAATCGTTGACCGCGTAACTGGTTCTTAATTTTTGGAAATAAATAAAAGTCACAAGATGCACAGAAAAAAGGATTTCTACTAATAAGAAAGAGCAATTTCACAAAATATTTGCTAATTCTGAAAAAATATTTATTAAAAGTAATAAAATATTGTCATTACAAAAATACTGCTATCTTTTTCTTATACAATTTTACTCGTAACTTTATTCTAACTTTTAGACAAATACGTTCACTTCAAGATTTTATTTCATTTCTAATCAATTAATTGGACATTACCTTACATCAAGAATATTTTTACCTCTTACATCAAATTTAAATAATCTTAAATGAATTCAAAATTTCTTGGGTGTATTTTAAGAAAATATATTCTTAAACAAAAAAGAAATAGTTTGCTATTCAGATTAATATTCTAAATTCTAGAGTATATTCATAAAGCAACATTTCGTTGCGTTTTCATAGTCAATGTTGTCGTGACATGTCGCCGAAGGCGCACGCGGTAACGATTACTTTTACTTGTGCTTGTAATCATAAAAATCATAAACAGTCTTTTATCCAAAGAAAAAATACGTAGTATCTCTAGTTTGTTAGGGTGTTATTTGAAGTCATAATTTAAGAAATTTGGTTTCAGCATGAAATCAAACTACACTTGTAACAAGCACAACTTTAACATGCAATTAGTTCCATCACGCCACTGCTAGATGGCACTAGTTGTACTCTGAAACGCTCTTTCGTTTTGTTAACTTCAATAGTATAAAGTCATCTCATATACTTAAAATTGTTAGTGCTTTCTGCCGCTGTAGCATATACGTATATGGTATATGTATATGGCACTGAACGGTACTCAAGTATTTGAGAAGATTCCGTCCTATTTCTGTTATTTTAAGGTTTGACACTAAACTGTGTGCTTTCACGCCAGTGAGACATACTGTTGGGTTCATAACCCTGTAAATTCACGCTTTTTGATATTATAAAACATAAATCTTCAGTCAAATAATTAAGTACCTCTCAATTTTTCATTCTTTTTTTTCTAATCAAAATCGGACATTTCTAATACCAACAAAAATTTTGTTGAATCTAGAGTGGCTTTGTGACTTGAAGTAAATTAATTTGCTCTTGGATTAAATATTTCTCTCTTATAACTAAAATACACTTTTGAGACGTTTTTTTTACTATTATCAAGTAATTATTATCTAGCGTCTATAGGGAGAGGATCGTTTTGTTGGATTTAATAAATTTGTCTTCATAAAAATAATTTTGTCTTTTTCTAAGTAATCTGTTTTTACCGTGTGCCAGGTCGGTATTGTACGCGGGATGGCTCATAAGGTCGTCGTTGTTCACCTCCAAAAATTCATTTGTCTATCTGGCCATGTGAGAACTGGCATTATCGTGGTGCAAGATGATACGGCATTTACGGTTATTTTTACGGAATTTGTCAATAACTTCCAAACAAACACCCCTTCCAGCAAACAAATGATCGTGCACGAATTACTATACACGGTACAATATTTCTCCAAAGCAACAGTAGCCACGTGTCCAGTTTTATTAAAAAAAGAAGCAATCATCCACTTAGAGGCACATTGCACGCGCGCCACTTTAATTGGTTTCGGCTCATCTTGAAAGACCCATACGCTCGATTGCTGCTTTGTTTTGGGATCGTAACTATAAATCCATATTTCGTCACCTGTTACTATGTCTCACACTAAATTTGACGCCCCTTCATTGAATCTGGTAAGCACGGCATTGCACCAAGTTACGCGATCCGTTTTTTGAGCCTTAGTCAAATTGTGTGGGATCCATCGAGAGCACAGCTTTTTGACACCCAAATAATAAATAAATAAATAATAAATAATAAATAACGCACACACTCAACATAGCCCCGCACTAGGGAAACCCTGTGTCGCGGGTGCCATGGACACACACATAGACAACCACAAATTACACCCAAACTCACGAGAGAAATAATTGTAGGCCATACAACTATTTCTCCCGGCCCGGGAATCGAACCTGGGACCTCTGTGTGGCAGTCCGGCATGGTAACCGTTCGGCCACGGAGGCAATTATGTCAAATGTTTGTGAAGTATTGATTGTATTTGACTCATGCCCATGCCTAAAGATGCCCGAATCTCATGGTATGTCACATGCCTGTCTGTTTCTGTTTTGAACAACAACAACAAACTGTATTCTACAGCCAAAGAATTCCATTTTCAAATGTTGTAATTACTTTTTAAATATTGTTTATGTAAGTGGCCAGTTCCTGAAACTTATAGTGCGCCCTATGTATTAGACATAACTAGTTGATGACTTTACCATCTCAGTCAGCCGAGATCGTGGGACCTGTAAAAGAGCCCGAAACGTTAGTTTGTTTGAAGAAATAAATATGCGCGGTTTAGGTCGGAAAAAAATTATTTCATTTCCTATGATCAATTAAAGTTTACTCTGTGAATTGTGTGACAAATATATAACCAAAATTTTCAATTCAAATAAGTATCTTTCTATTGTATTATGTATTTAGTGAAGAGCTTAGTGTTGATAAAGAACAAAGATCTCCCATTGGATATTTCAGTTTACATTTAATCATAGAATGTCATTAACAGTTTCTGATCGTTAACTGTTCGTGAATTATAGAACCTTTCTGAAGGGTAGAGGAGTTCATTAGATACTCTCTTGAGATCTTGCCAATTAACGCACTTTACGACGGTATCCAGTAGATTACTGCTTAAATATAAATTCAAGTACTATAAAACTTAACCAGTGCTATGCATTTTTCAAAACAAATATTAGAAACGTGATTGGCAGCCATGTTTTTTTAAACTGAATATGAAATGGGTAAAATATTTAATAATGAATGAGATGTAGGTTTGCTGTTGCTTTTAGTATACTATTTATTTTGGATATTATAAATTTTAAGACGTTGAATCTTTTATAACGCCATGTAGAACTGTTGTTATGGGATACTATACATTTTGGAACAATAATGCATATGATGTACAAATAATAAAGATGCATAGGTAAGTTAACATCGAA